ATATAGTGTGTCTGTGTTGTGTGTGTCTGTGTGTGCACTTCTGTGTTGTTTGTGTTCTGTGTAGTAAGTGCGTGTGTCTGTGTTTTTTTGTATTGTGTGTGTACTCTTTGTAGTATGTGTGTAGTATGTGTGTGTGGGTGTTGTGTTTGTAAGGTACATGTGTGTGTATGCTGTCTTTTTTGTGTGTGTGTCTGTAAGTGTGTGTGGTATGTCTGTGTGGTATATGTGTGTTGTGTGTGTGTCGTGTTTAAGTGTGTGTGTTATGTCCTTTGTGTTTGTGTGTGTGACTTTATATGGTATGTCTGTGTTGTGTTTGTGAGAGTATGTGTTTGTGTGTGGTATGTGTGTGTGTCTGTATGCTTTTGTGTGTGTATTCTGTGTAACGTGTGTGTGTTATGTGTGTCATGTATGTGTGTGTGTCCTCTGTCATGTATGTGTGTGTGTGAGGGGGTATGTCTTGTATATGTGTGTGTTAAATGTGTGTGTGTGTGTGTGTGGATGTGTGTGTACTTACACTGTAGTGAATCTTCTCTGGTTTTTGGCTCTGATGGTAAACAACTCTGAACTGCTGCAGCTGTGGAGAAAGACAGAAAAAGGAAAGCGGCATATTAATTTATATATTATATATTATTATCAGGTATATTTAGGCTACAAAAAGTTGTCTGTTAAACTAAAATATGATCTGATTTCAGAAGTTGCTAAATAATTTATAGTGTGTCTGTGTGTGGTATGTGTGTGTGTTGCATGTATGTGTGTGTGTGTGTACATACACTGTTGTAAATCTCTGGTTTTTGGCACTGAGGGTAAACAACACTGAACTGTTGCAGCTGTGGAGAAAGAAAGAAAAAGAAAAGCACCATATTATGTTATTAAATTTAATTATATATTATTAGATATTCTTACACTGTTTAAAATTTACCATCAAGCTCAAACACGATCTAATTTTAGAAGTTACTGAATAATGCATAGTGTGTGTGTGTGTATGTAAGTGCCTCCATTTTGAACGTAAGTGCAAGTCCACGAACACACAGTTCAGCAGTCAGAGTAAGAGAGGAATGTCAGATCTTTAGTGTGTTAATGATTAAATCTTATGTCTGACTTTCACTCTGAACAAGTAAAGATGTTCATCATTGTGTTTCACAGCTCCTCTTACCCTGTGGAGAGATTTTACTGAATTCCTGCTTGCAGAATTCCTCTAGTCTCTCTTTCAGATCAGAGAGAGATTTCCTCACTCCATCAAATGAGAGACGTTGATGGACAGTGATGCTGGGTGAGTCCTTAGATCCAGAAGAGACACAGAGAGACTGGAAACTCTACAGAGAGAGAGACACAATGGAGAGAGAGAGAGAACAATGTACAAGAGGGAAGTCTGTCAGATTTTTTCGCTTAATTTATATTTTGCTGTTATTTATTGGTTCCTGCAAAGACAGAACAAAACTTGTACTTTGTGCTTCTTCTGTTTCACTTAAGTTCAGAGGGACGATGTTGGAAAAAGATGAAATCAAGTTTTTCCTCACCAGTCAGAATTAGTTTAGTCTTTACACCTGCTACCCTTTTTCAAGCTCTTGCCCCACACAAACCAAAGTCTCATTTATTTCATGTTGCCATGGCTGGCAACCCTCAAGAACAGCATGAGCAGTTTCAGTAGAATAAGCCGGTATATGTCCAGTCTCTGGTCAGCAAGTCTAAGTCAATCTTTAATTTTCAGTTATGATTCAGAGGTCAATGTTTTTTTGGAAGCGGAAACATCTGAGTTGTATATTTTTGTACAATGTTGGATACACTTCTGTTTTATCTCTGTTTTGTGGCCTTGTGTAAACAGGACTTTTGGAGTTTCGTGGGTTTTGTCTCTGAATGAGGCCAAGAGTCATCTGTTTTGACAGGAAGGGGGCATAAGACTGATGTGCAGTAATACATTGGCAAACCTTAATGACATATCAAGAATTAGCTTCTAAATGCTTCAAAGCAAACTATTGTAAAATATTTAAAGACAAAATGCTGTGAACTTCTTTTTTGCAATCTTGAAACTCTATCTTGCCATGAGGTGCAGAGCAGGAAGTATGCTTCCCATAAGCCTGATAAAACTCAGAGCACAGAAATACATACACATGGACATGCGGAAGGCAACTTGAATGTTACTGACAACTTTCAGAAAGTCTTTTTTTTTTTTTTAATTTTTACCCTGATTTTCTCACCAATTTAGTCGTAGCCAATTCCACCCCGCTAGTTAGGACTCCCCCAATCACACGATGTTATCAACGCTAGGAGGGTGAAAGCTAACACAGGCTTCCTCCGAGACCTGTGAGGCCAGCCACCGCTTTCTTTTCGAGCTGCCGCTCACGCAACGTCACTGGACAGCCGAACGCGCTCGGAGGAAAGCACCAACCGCCAGATCTGTTACGTCAGCTAACAGACGCCTGCGCTGACTAGTATCGCGCTGAGTAAGTGATGGGGGAGAAGGGCAGCCATCCCACCCACCCAGAGAGAGCGAGGCCAATTGTGCTCTCTCGGACTCCCGGCTACGGATGGCTGTAGCATCACCAGGGATCGAACTCGCGATCTCCTGATGATAGGGCCAACGCTTAGACGGTTGCACCACTCGGGAGCCATAAACTTTCAGAAGGTCATGGCCATGTTAGTGTACAATCAATGCTGCATGGTCCTTGTGTCTCTTTATGAAACAAATGATCATCAGTTTTCCTACTTTTAGCATCAGTAAGACATTTTTTTTGCAATTTGCAATCAGGTTAGCTTTTTAAGAAACAGTTTTCGAACCTCTAAGTTTCAGATCTCTATGCAGATCAGACAGTGCTGGTTACCTGGAGGAAATGGATGTGATCCTCTGTGTGTGAAAGCTGCTCCAGCTCAGTGTCTCTCCTCTTTAGATCAGCAATCTCCTGCTCCAGTTGCTCCAGGAGTTCTTCAGCTCCACTCAGTTCAGCCTCCTCCTGAGCTCTGATCAGCTCTGTTACCTCAGAGCGCTTTTTCTCAATGGAGCGGATCAGCTCAGTAAAGATCCTCTCACTGTCCTCCACTGCTGCCTGTGCAGAGCTCTGTTACAACACACACACAAGATGGAGCTCCATTTAAACATCAGCCATCATTCACTCTCTTACTGTGACCCTTGTTATAGTGATCTCCCTCTTAGCTGCCTGGTTGTTCTTGTTTGAGTTGTGTTGATTGAAAGTTTGATAGGGAGACAAAACATGAACTTCCACCTCCATACCGAACCGTCTGGTTTTGCCTGCCAACTCTAGCTCACAAAAATCTAGTGACATTTTTGAACAAGCCCCGTTTACATTTTGGTGTCTGTTATAAGTGTGTAAATAAAGCACTTCATTTGGTTCATGTGTGTGTGTGTCTCTGGGCTTTCATTGGGTTTCCCAATCAATGTGTGTTGACCCTTCCCCCCCGGCCGCACGACACAGTCTAGATTGAAAGAATGAAAAGAACCATTGCCTGTAACACTTGTGTCCTCCCTTATTTATTTGTCATGAACTGACTGATAAGCAGTATGTACCACTGTCCACATCATGGCTGTGTAGGATCTCTGAGTGTCCAACACTGGACTCCTCACTGTCTGACTGGAGGAGAGTCTGACTGAGCTGTGAAACAGCTGCTCCAGCAGATCTCTGCTCACTACTCACTACTCACCTTAAGAGTCTTCACAGCCTGTTTCACCTCCTGCAGCTTCTTCTCTTTCTCCTGGAGTCTCTTCTGAAATTTCTTCAGCTCCTGCTTTAGCTGATTCTGCGGGGATATATGTTATTCAGCTGCTGGTGAATTCTGATGTACAAGCAGTACCCGTGAACAGACATTTTCGGTGGCCGCAGCTCAATGGAACAAAAAGGCAATGTGACCGTGAATGAAACCTGGCATCCCAACCTCCAGTGAACAACGTTACCAATTTTCCCACTACAACATCTAATTGCAAAGAATTGGTAAGTTATAACTGTATTTAAGAAATTTATAGAGCTTGGCAAAAATTCATTTTTTGTACAATGACAAATTGGTTTAGCAGGTTGATTGCATCTCTGCCTGCCAACAGTATATTTAGTTGATGTTGAAATTAACAACATTGTGGTTTTTTGTGCACATGTCTGTACGTGAACTGATATAATTGGCAGCTGAAGAGTTAAAGTTTACTCTTGTCCTTCCATGGTCTGACCTAAACTGGGAGATAAGATTTGGCTGATTAAATGTTGAATGACTTGTTTAACTCGTTTAGTAGTAACAGTGTGACGAGACAAGTTTTATAGGAGTCTTTACCCACAACAGTTTTACTTAAGTCATTTCACTTATTATTATAAACTAAAACAAACAGTATAATTACAGCAGCAACTATGATGAAATGCTGATTAAGCATAAAGTCATTCTTTAAAATTTCTTGTTCTCACCTGTTTCTGACTTCTCTCTGCTGCAGCTGCAACGGTATCATGACCTTTATGTTCATGCATCGTACACAAATAACAGATGCAGCTGTGGTCAGTACGACAGTAGATCTCGATCAGTTTATCATGTTGAGAGCAGATCTTCTCTTGTAGCTGTTTGGAGGCTTTGACCAGCTTGTGATTCTTAAAGGCAGGAGACTGATAGTGAGGATTAAGATGAGTTTCACAGTAAGAAGCCAGACACACCAAACAGGACTTGATGGCTTTGAGTTTTCTCCCAGTGCAGGAATCACACTCCACATCTCCAGGTCCAGCGTAACAGTGAGCAGGAGGAGCAGCTTGGAGTTCTGTCTTCTTCAGTTTCTCCACCACTTCAGCCAGCATGTTGTTTCTGCGTAGATCAGGCCTTGGAGTGAAGGTCTCTCTGCACTGGGGACATCTGTAGACCCCCCTCTGGTCCTCAAGATCCCAGCAGCCATTAATACACACCATACAGAAACTGTGTCCACAGGGAATAGCCACTGGATCCTTCAGCAGATCCAGACAGACTGGACAGCTGAACTGGTCCTGGTCTACTGAAATACTGGCCATTTTCCTGAACTCACAGACGGAGAGAGAGGTGCACACTGAGATACAGCTACATTTGCACAGAATTAAAGGAACTGCAAAATGGGAGTGGCTTCATGTGAAAGATTTTGATTGGGCAGATCTCTCAAAGAATTTATCAGAGCTAAAATCTCACTGTCTACACAAATTTGTACTTCGGGTGGTGGTGAACATGAGTATTTTACTAGAACAGACTTTTTTTACTAAAACTTGAGAACTTGAGAACAAAATCTGTAGCAAAGCTGATTAACATATATCAGTAACAAATGGTTTCAATGATATACATGAACCAGCACAGCTTCTGTAGTAGTCCTGTCTTACAGTTTATCCAATCACATGCATTTATGTAGATGACTTAGCTGAAGACAGGTTATCTTATCAAAGGCCGAGAACACAAGCTATATGTCACAGACTTTAGATATTTAATTTTTTATTTCTGGTCTGAGCAGTGAAGTGCCAATTTGGCTTGTTAAAGAAATGCTGAGAACAAAAATGCAATATTTAAAATGTGTAAACTATGAACTATGCGTTTTCCTTCCCAGTTCATTTAAAAAGTGATGTGTCTCCTCCATTCTGTGTCTGTTCTGGCATTGGTTAAAGGTGGAAACATTATGCACTACTGAGAAAAACAAATTAAAAATCACCTACTGATAAAATCCAGGTCATGAGAATACAAAAATAAAAAATAAAATATAAAATAAACCCAACGCTCTACATGAAAGACCCACAAGATTTCTCATCCATTCGCTGACAGAGCAAGAGCGTAAAATGCTCAATCCAACGTAAAATTTTATTGCAAAATTTCACTAAAAAATAGAACATAAAATGTGCCATAGCTTTTGCACATGCCATTTTTTTATGTTTCATTTGTTACCAATACATTCAATTAAGTAAATAAACAATGTGTTCATTATAAGGTGCAGAAATGTGTCTTCGTAGATGATGTGTGAACTTGTGTGAAATTTTGGTCTTGTGTGTAGGAGGGTCATTGTGTCAGAGACGCTGTAGAAGGACAGAGTTCCTGCACTGTGATGCACATACACTCCTATTCTGGAGGAGGATGGTCCTGAGATCTCAGTCTGAATGTTGTGATAGAAAGAGAGAGAGGAAGAACAACACAGACTCTAGAACTGACTGTTGTGCCCAAGCCTGCTTTCATTACCTCTTTCTTTCCTGTTGATCCCTTTATATGAGACTGCTATCCCACTAACAGTGTCCACTCACACTCCCTTTACACAATAAGTGACAACAGTAGTCAAATTGCTTTGGATGAAAGTAGGCTTAACTAGTTAGGACGTGATCCAAACTCGTAGTCAGAAAACAGGCACAGTTCAAATCCAAGCCTAAAATATGAATGGACAAACATAGCAAAACAAGCAAACACAATCCAAAAAGGGCAAGGCCAAAAGGCAAAGATGAAAATCCCAAAATGATAGACAGCAAGGCAAGTATACACAGGAAGAAATGCTCGGTGGCTCAAATGAAGCAATACCTCACAAATGACTTCACGAATGCCTGACTCTTGTTCAGCTGGAGGACAGCTTCGGTCTGTTGGCGAGTTTCTTCCCAGACTCTTTCGCTGCACTGCATCCACTCATCCACAACAGGAACATCAGAAGAGACACCTGTCCATGAAGCTACAGAAGGTTGGTAGCTAAGAATGCACTGATATATGTCCTGTAGCTGAGTGTTTTAACAATTTCTGTGCCATTTCTGCCCATACCAAATATCTAGCAAAGTCATTAGGATTATCATAGAAACTTGCAAAAATGTTTGGTTCACACATTGGATTATGGGTGATAACCTTAAGTTAATCTAACTCAAACTTCTGTGTGTTCAAAGAATGATGACCAAACTTGTGATGTAAACTTAACAGACAGCACAGGAGAATCTATCCATAATGGTGAGTATGGTGTCAAAACCCTGAGATTCTGGTAAATCAGCATCAAAATCAAGGGCTAAATGTGACCAGGGTCGATTGGGCATGGGTAAAGGCATAATTTTACCTGCGGGTAATGTTTTCGGTGTTTGGCACTAAGAACACGTGGAACAGGATGACATGAATCAATGAATATCCTTGTTCATCGACTCCCACCTATACCTATTTGAGAGAGAGGTATTGCATGCATGTTTCACCTGGATGACCAGCTGTGAGAGATGAATGGGCACAAGTTACGAGTCTGTCTCTACACCCTTCAGGAACATAGGTCTTTTCAGCAGATCACTGCTCAGGGACTGATATTTTCTAGTACCTTCTCTATCTCCTCATCTATGGCCCAACGAATAGCTGAAATATTATTGTGTGGAGGCAGGATATTTTTGGGGTCTGGTTTAGTGTCTCCCTCATGGTGAATTCTAAACATGAAACGATAAAATATCAGGGACTCTGTTGAGTCTGAATCTAGAAATCTAGAACAATCTAGAAAAAAATAATGATCAGGGTGCTTGTCGGAGATTCAGACATTTAGCAGTGCGAAGGTATTCTAGGTTTTTGTGGAGGAGCCTCCATGCACATTCCAGGGCCCAACAGTCACGTAGAATGTGACCAGCACTGCCACAATTCAACACAGTCCCCCTTGTAAACAACAAAGCCTCTCTTCTGGTAACAGGCACGATGAATCACACTGCATAGGTTCCTCTCGGTCTTTGGTAGAGCAGGTCTCGTTTTTCTTTACGGAACCATAGTTGGCTGTTTGACACTCACTCAACGGGTCTTGCGATCACAGGAGAGTTGGTCCAAGCAAATGGATAGAGTGATTATCTGATTAAGATTGAACATCTCCACAGGCCAGTTCAGTTAGAATGCTGGGTTTAAGCCCTTGAGGGAACATGACTAACAAAGCAGGATTGTTCCGCCCAGTACTTGCCGCCGGTGTCCAAAATTCTACCACGTAGTCTGACATAGAACAATTACCTTGACATAATGTAGTGAGAAGTTCTTTACTAACTTTACCCTCATATGGATGATCAAAAACCATACGAAAGTCTTTCAAAAGTTGTTCATATGATTCTGAACCTTGGCCCAGATTGCAGTAGCCCACTCCAGTGCCTTATCAGCCAGCTTCAAGATTGCAAAAGAAATTTGGCCTGATCGGTACTCGGTGGGGAGCTGTTAAAAAAATTGAGCACTGGAGCAAAAATCCACTCCATTTATTTGGGTTGCCATTAATCTTGTCAGGTTTACTCACAGAAAAGGTAGAACTAGCAACTTCCGCAGGTGTGGGGATTGTTACAAATTCGGCAAGAAGAGTCAGGAGACTGGAGCTTCGGCGTTGACCGGAGTTTATTTCCACATACAGAGTATGGGTACAGTGTGGTCGATCAGAAGTCAATCAGCAGGATCAGGAGTCTAGTCTTATTCACGTGCATGCAGACAATCATGCACAGGTACAGCTTGGTCATCAGTGTATCACCAGTCTGGTCTGGTCACCAGTCTAGTCTAGTTCAGTCTGCAGTCCAGTCCTCATAAACTAAGGAGGGGGACAGAGGAACAAAATGACTTTGAGGAGGGGTAAGGAGGGGTTGTAGATGGGGGATATGAATAGAGATGTAGGGGGTAGAGATCGGGGGGGTTGGTGGTATCACCTTAAGGTTGTGCGACAAAGGGTCATTTAAATACAAACGAAGAAGTGATCGGGCAAGGTGAGAGTGCGACCAGTTTCACCTTTCTGCCATTTGCTCTCTACAATGAAAATGGTTTAGACCTTAAGAAAATAACATATATTGAGAATATTTTCGCTCAGGATATTAAGTGTATTCTTAATGCTAATAGCCATACCCAATGTTTCTAACTGAGAAGTCAGCTCTTTAACGTTAGTGACTAACTGGACAAGTTGACTTTGTTGATCAGCTTGTTGTAATCTCAAAGTCTCGAGAAAATGAGTCACCCCTGACAATACCTGCTGATGTTGTCCCAACAGATGACCTTGATTAACAATGGCCTTCTGAATAGCCTTGAAATCCGCTGTCTGCATGGGCACAGTCCCCCTTGTAAACGACGGTGGTGAGGTAATCTGGGAACTGGAGTTCTCCAAGGAGTCAGTTCTGGAGGAATGCATAACACATGGAATCAACATACATTTAAACTTAAATTTACATTTAAATATACAATATACATTTCAATTAAAATTAACATTTACATATACAAAGTACATTTAAATTTAAATTTACATTTAAATATACAATATAAATTTAAATGCAAATCAATTTTTTTCAGTGAGTTTTTTTTTTTCTAACTTAACCACTGTTTCCTTACTTTTACATTTCTGTAATGTTCCTAATTATTATAGCACAGAATAAAATACATAAAAAATAAATAAAAAAAATGTACCACTTGTATGTGTGTGCGTGCATGTGCATGTGTACATACACTGTAGAAATTCTCTGGTGTTTGGCTCTGAGGGTAAAAACTATCTGAACTGCTGCAACTGGGAGAAAGAAAGAAACAAAACATGCCAGAATATGTAAACTGGTAGTACGTTATTTACGGTACAGTAAGTAAATAGCTTTAATAGGTAGGAGTTATAACTGTGTTTGAGTTTAAAAGAGCCTGGCATAAATTCCTGTTTTTGTACAATGACATAAATTGGTTTAGCAGGTTAATTGCCTGCCAACATTATATTTGGTTGTTGTTCAAATTAGCCAAATTATGTTTTTTGTGTTCATGCCTGCATACAAGTGTCTATATAACTGGCAGTTGAAGAGTTAAAGTTTACTCTTGTTCCTCCAAGGTTTGACCTGAATTGTATGCTGGGAGTTGGCTGAGTAAATGTTGATTGACTGGTTTGACTCGTTTAGTACTAAGTTTAAGCGTAACATCTGCTGTGCTTTTTGCCCTGTTTGTTTTATCTTGTTTTTTTCAATAGCCGACGTGACACCGGCCCCCTGATTGGTAGCACCTGATCTGAACCTATAAGACTGAGCTACACCCCTTTCTTAGACAGCTCTCCCCCTTTCCTTTTGCAGCAGCTGGGCACTCCAGCCATGACAGCCCTTCTTTTACT